ATTTATATTCAATTTATCTGAGAGAACATTTACTTTTAATTAATAAAAGACAAAAACAATATTATCTTTTGGTTTTATTTAAAATATAATATTATTATATTTATATCTTAGAAATATTTTATTAAAATCTATATTTATAATAAACATAGGAAATATTTCAATGAAATTTCTATATCTATATCGAATTTTTTCATCGAATTATAATCAAGAATTTATTTATTTTTTTTATTTTCTAAACATATTAAATAGATAAATTAATTTCGAAATCAATTTATAATAATTATTATTATTTATCTATCCGTTAGATTTTCATATGTTAAATATTTCAAATATTCTATGATTAAGTATTTAATTAATTGAATATTATATTTGTTTTAATCTTTCTTCTTAATATAATTCAATAAATAATTATTTTCTTTAATTTATCTTCATTTATTTATTTAACTAACATATTAACAAATATTTATAAGATTAATTATTAAATAAAGAGTATGGAAACGTTAAACATTATATTCTATTAGAAATTTTATTTCATTTTAATCAGATAAAAATTAAAACAAAGAACAATTGTCAAGGTCAATGTGCCTTTATAGCTCAGTGGTAGAGCGCCAGTCTTGTAAACTGGAGGTCCGTAGTTCGATCCTGCGTGAAGGCATCTTATCTTTTTTTTTAAATTATCCAATTAATTGACTATTAAACATTTCGGAAATAAACATTTTATATTAATGTTAAGATTTTATTCGAAATGAATATTTCGATATTCGATTCAAATAATATAAAAAGAAAAAAAAACAAAATCTTATTTCTAAATATATTATAAATAAATAAATAAATAAATAAATAAATAATTATATATTTATTAAAATCTAAATGAGAAAAATAAATCAATTCGAGTTTTATTTAATTTAAAAAAATATTCTCTATTATGTTAATAATAAATAGTTGAATTTATCTATAAATATATATTTCAATAAGATAAGATTCGAATTGAATATTATTATCAGAAATTTTTTTTATTAGAAATTAATTAACAAATTCAATTATTTAATAAGAACTCTTTTATCAGATTCAAATTAACCAAATCGTTTTAATATCGACTTATTTATAATTAACGAACATTTTTTCTTCGATAATCTAAATAACCAATTTAGAATAAAATAATATTTGTTCCTATTCATTAATTAATTATCTATATAAAAAAGGTCTGTCTAACATTCAAGGTTATCATATAAAGATGAGAGATATGATAAAGATCCTCTTTTATAAATAGATTTAAAATAGATTTATTTCGATAGATTAAATAAATAAATTATCTTAAATAAAATCTATTAGATTGGCACATTACTTTTCACCGTTTTGATCAGTAGAATTCTATTGTCAATATAAACCTACATTTTAAGGAAAGTAATTAGATATTATGACAGAGCTCAGAATTCTCTATCACTCTGTGTATTTAACTCTTAACTTGAATTTATTTGGTGAAAAAATATATTTTCAAGAGTGAAGACATCCTCACCCTCGGATTCCAACGAACTTCATTTTTTGTTCCTTTCTCATATGTTTCTAAAATTTTTATCTCTAGAGTAATCCGGCTTTTTAGAGAAGTAATTACATATTGTAAGAGCTCTTGAAATGCTCTATCGCCCTGTATATTTAGGTCTGACTTGAACTCATTTCCTGAAAAATATTTCGAACATTCTCAATGCGAATGACGGATGTCTTCATTGTATTGAAGATATTTTTTCAGGAAATAAATTCAAGTGAAGAGTTAAATACACAGAGTGATAGAGAATTCGAAGCTCTGTCGTAATATCTAATTACTTCCCTTAAAATGTAGTTTTATATTGTCGATAGAATTCTACTGATCGAAACGGTGAGAAGTAATGTACCAATCTAATAGATTTTATTTAATAATGTTTCGTTTAAAGAGTTATTTTCAATATTTGTGTATCGGAATAAAAAATTTCTAATAATATTCTATTGTAAATTTGTTTTATATTTTGAAATAAATTTTCAAAAAAAAAAACGAATATATTCTAAATAGTAATAAGATATATTCAAAATAAAAAATAATTTTATTCCAATTAATATTATCTTAAACAATACAATACTTTAATAATTAATAAAATATAGATTTATTATTAATAATTGGCAAATTATATTTCTATCAATGATTAAAAAAAAATTTTAATAAAGAAAAAAACAACTGATTATTTAATAATAAGCATGAATATATTTGAAAAAAAGTAAAAAAAAAAGTTTATTTTCCAAATCCATGTGTTTTTACTTGCATAGATTGATTCAATGAAATTTTGTTTGAGATAAATATTAGATGGAGAAGATCGATTTATTTTTTATTTCAATGGTATTATATTTTTTCCACGTTCTCTTTTATAAAATGTTTCATCATTATTTAACACTGAACGAACAAAGGTTTGAACTCTTTCATATCATATTTCAAAATGATTATCATTATTTATAAATCATCAATAACTGAATATATAATTAATATAAATCGAATAATTGTTATCTTAGAAATAAGATTTGTTTCAAATATAATACTCTCGACAAGCAATTATTTATCGAATTAAATATTTTATTGACTCGATTCAACTGATTATATCATTTATTCAAGATAAAACCTCTTCAAATATAAACTTATCACTTGTTTTATAATAATATTTTATTAAATTAGTTGAGTTTGTCATTATTGATGATTATATTCGAAGTGTTTATCTCTAATAAGTTTATTTTTATCGATTGGATTCCCTATTCCGAATTATACTTTTTCTATATATATTTGCTTTTTTATAAAACAATTTCCAATCATTAGTTTTTATTGATTTTATTCAAATAGAGAATCATTTTCGCCTTTTTTTTCTTGAAAAAAAAAACTCTTGTCTATATGGTAGATGTCCATGGCGGCCTGTCCCGGTGCCGGTGGCGACAGTGGCAGGTTTTTTTTAAAAATCACCGCGGCAGCGACACATTTATTTTACAATTCATCGCAGCAGCGGCACGACAACTTTTTTAAATAAGTCATCGCAGCGCGGCAACATGTTTTTAATAAACCGTCACGACGTGGCAGTGGGAGATTTTCATCGGCGATTGACATCTCTAGTCTATAATGAAAATACCTCTAATAATAAATAGTCAATTTAATTGTTAATTCAATCGAGAGAATTTATTTAAATAGTTGAATATTGATCGTCATTTTATCTTATATGAAAATCTTGTTGAAGTATCTCAATAAATAAAAGAAATAAAAAATCCTATCGAAGATCTAAAAACATTGATATTAATTAGTATATACTCTATATCGATAATAGAGGCGAAAATAATCTTTAAAAAAAAATAATAAATATTATCATATATATTCAATTTAAATTAAATTAAATTCGAATCAATTGAATATGTTTTAACTTGGTTGATAGACTAAATATACAACTGTTAAACGACATTCAGACAAAATTTTATTCTACGAATAAGATTAACTGAAATAAACCCAATTGTTTAAGTATTTTTATCCATCAATAACCTACTCAGATTTACTCTAATTTTAACGATATTTATTCATATTGAGTAAACTATTGATGGAAAAGTTCAATGAGAATATATTTATCTTAATGTTTACTCTATAGAAAGATATAATTTCTATTATTATTATAATATATGTTAACTAATAAATCAATAATTAAATATGACTAAACCAATTTATTCAATAAAATGATAAAACTTGTTTAGGAATAATATATCTCGATGAAAATCTTGTTATTGTCTTTTCATGAATAGTTAATCAATAATGAATATATATGATAAAACGATTACAACTCAATTTGGATAAATCGAGAGAGACACAAATCTTATTAGATTTTTCATTGTTTCATCGATTAATTATTGATAGATTTTTAAAAATGTTAAACTTTGCTGGTTAGTCTTTCACTTTCTAAACATATTTTTCGATTAAAAATAAATTGGTGATTATATTTATATTGAATAGATAAAGATTATTATTCGAATATTCTCGAAATATTCATTTATATAATAAATGGTCTTTAATAAAATAGTTATCTTTATTAATATATTTTCCTTGATTAATCAGTTAAAATAATTATGTTTAGAAGAAGAATATTATAAATATTGTCAAGAAAAAAGAAAATTCTCTTTATATCATGCTTGAATAGTCTAATAGAATTAAATTTTTTTCAATGTTCGAATAAATATTTGTGTCTGGGTAAGAATTTTCCTCGATAATAAGACTGGTTTTTTTATCTTATGTAAATCGATATTAATTTGGTGGTGATTATTTAATCAGTGATATTTATATCCGGTTGATTGATTATATATTTAAATTATCCTATGATTAATCGTTAGGATTTAACTAATAAACTAATATCTGACTAAATCCATCTATGAATAATATTGTTTGAAAGAAAAATAGTTCTATTAAATAGAATATATTTGTTAGAAATAATAATTCTTAAATAAACTAAAACTCTATAGAATATGAAAATATTTCAAGGAAATCAATAAGATTCTTTTCTTATTATAGAATATATCCCTATTTATTTATGATCGTTTTTTTTTAATGAATATAAAAACTAGGAATAAATTTTTCGAGATTTATTTATATTCGGTTGATTTGTAAATAAATAAATTAAAAAAATCTATATTTAAATAGAATGGATTTTACATTAAAAATCAATCTAAAGTGTAAATTGTTAAAAAGTTGATTAAAATAAATAGTTAAATATATTAAATTGTATTCGATAAGGAAAATAATAAAAACAAAAACAATCAATTGAAATGATTAGTTTTTTATTTTGATTAATAAAGAAAAAAAAATTGGATTTTTTCCGTTATTTTTTTTAATTTAAATCTAAACTGTTATTAATAATAAATAAAAATGATTGATTAAATAAAAAGTAAAATCGATCAATTGATTAATCTGAGATAAAAATTTTTAAAAAAAATCTTGTTTTTTTATAAATAAAATCAAATTATCCAGATGATGGATTTTTTTCAGTTCGACTTTTTTCTAAAAATTTTAAAACATAATTAACAGTTTTGTCTAACATTGATTTATTTTGTATTCCATAAGTACATGATTTTGGATTATTACATGTATACCAACTTATTCGATTAATTTTATTTTCATTATCTTGATGAATATAATATAAACGAAATTTGTTTTGATCTTCTTTATTAAGATAAAGTTTTTCTTGAAGTGTAAAAAACCGATCATGTTGTGCTTGTTTATTACATGTTATTGGTTTAGTAATATCAGATCTTATATTTAATAATTGAATATTTTGTTTAGGATAAAAATTTCCTTCGCAAAAAAGTAATTGTTTATGTCCCCCTTTTGAAATAATTAAACTTTTTTTTAAATTATTTTTAAGTAAATTAAAATTAACATTAATTAATGATAATAATATTGATTTAAGTGTTGACAAATAAATAAATTGAAATTGATCAATAAATAATAAACTAGTTGGATATTTAAAATCTTCAATTATATCTGTTGTTAATTGAATAAGTGATTTATTTAAACTATTATTTGTTAATGAGAATGATAATGCACGAATATGAATTATTTCTTCACTATGATTTATATAAACTTTTAATTGAATTCGTGATTTTAATGAAGGTTTTTCTAATGAATCACACAGTTGAAGTTTTTCACTTTTTTTAAATGTTTTAAAATCAATATCATATTGACAATCTTCTAACTCTTCATTTTCATCATAATCATCATCATAATCATTACTTTTTATTATATTAAATAATATTAAAAAAAGAAAAACAATAACTAACTTCATCGAATAGATTACAAATCAATGACTGACTCGTTCTTTTTTTCTTCCTTACTTTTTATATAAGACAATTAATTATATTATATCTATCATAATAAATCATTTTCAAGGTTTATTTATATATATAGATATAGATATGATTATATATTATCTTTATCCTTATTGATGATAGATAAATGCATATTGAGATAATTAGCAATTTTTCGACAAGTCCAATAGATTCGTTATCTGAATAAAATATTATTTCGAAATTCTATTTATTTCACACAATTATTTTTTATTTCTCTTTTAGAAACAAAAAATTCTTCTTGAATTTGTTTTTTATTTTAAATAATTATTTATATATTAAAAAATTTATCAAACAAAAAAGAAACAAAATCATTTACTTTTTTTTTTCTTCTTTACTTTCGAATAATTCAAATAAACTCTTGTTTATCTAAAACTGTTCACAAATAAACAGTTTTTTATTTCAAGTAAAGATGATTGCTGTGTTTTTTTTTAGAAATATTTAAAAGAGCGTCGATGAGACCATCGAATATACGAACCACTCGATAAAATTTTTTTTTCGATTTTGTTTTGGCTCATTCAAAACTTCAATGTCTAAAATTATTAATCCTAAAATTTAAGATTCTAATATCCTTCCTATGAAAAGTTAGTCAATACCGACGTAAACTACTAAAAATGTTCATATTCTATATTGAAAAATCAGAAAAAAACAACGAAAAATTCGAAGGTGTAAACCCTTTTTATGCATTCAACCGAAACTTTTTTCAAATATTTTTTAACCATTTGCTAGAGAATAAAAATTTGCACAACATATAGAAAATTCAGTCTGGGTACTCTTGATTCTGAAACATAAGAGGAGATACACTCTTTTATTTCGACTGATAAAAATGGCCATCTTTTATTCATATTACCTTTATAAAACTAGAAATCTTAGAGATTATATTATATCAAAATAGATTATTTTATTCAGCGTTTTAATTCTCTATCTTATTATCTTTACCGTGAAAATTTTCAACAATTCTTTGAAACGTAACCTAGTACATCTTTTATAGGAGATATTTTCGTTTTTCTTTCTCAAAAAAGATGTGATAATGCTGAAATCAGTATTGGCTAACTTTTCATAGAAAGTCTATTAGAACCTTCAATTTTAGGGTTAAGAATTTTAGACATTGAAATTTTGAATGAGCAAAAAACAATCGAAAAAAAATTTTAATCGAATGCCTCGGATATTCGATGCTCTTTTAATTCACTGAAGATCCACAATAAAATCGAAGAATTGAAAAAAATATTTAAAAAAAAAAGGAAATAATAAAATATATAATATAAAGATAGGTGAGATATTCTAAAGGTAGACGATCTCGATCGTATTAATAAATGAAACTGTCTTTACTTAAATAGAAAATAATCAATTTTAATTCTTATTTCTATTTCTATTTACCTGAAAAAAACGATCAAATTGATTTTTAATTAAAAAAAAATCTTCTTCTTAGATATATAATATAATAAAGAATTTTTATCGATGTTTTTGTTTAGTTAGGATGATTTAATTAAATGAGTGGATTTAATTATTCATTTATCGATAAAATTGACTTTCTTATTTGATACAGTTGAAAGTTTTGTTTAAGTTTCGATCAAATATGTTTAAATGTTGAAGTTAATTGATTAGAATTGAAATAAAAGTGAACATATTCAATATTGATTTAAATAAAAATATCTGTTTATATATATATATATATTGAAATGTTTACTATTCAATTAGAATATTCGAATAAAAATATTGATAAATTATATTTAAATAAATATTTCAAATAGAATAATAAAATCAATAATAGATTTTATTTTTTATTTCAATATCATTATATTAATTAACACCATATCATTATTAATATTTCAAATATTTCGTTTTTTTTTATCTTACTCTTTTCTAATATAAAACAATGGAAAATTTTTTAAACATTTGTATATCGACTTCTAGAAAAATAAAAAGTTTCATTGATAAGATTTTATTTGAGTTAAATATAGATAATTGATTATTTCATTGTGGTAAAAGGCGGTTTATATCTCAATTAGATAGTCGGACTAATCGAGAGAAATCCGATTGATTTATTTATTGAGTATATATTCTTGGTTAGATTCCGAGAATATTCTATTCTACTGTTTTAGATTTTCAATAAATATTAAACAGTTTAGTCATTCTTAACAAACTTATCTCATTAATTAACTTGAATTTATTCGAAATAAAAGAGAATTATTCTTTTATTAAATAAATTATCTTAGTTAATATATAACAAAATATAATATATTATGTTTTAAATCGAGAGAATCAATTATATTTACCAGTATAAACGTTTATCTATGTCATTGATTTATTATTAATTGAATATGGTTAATATTCAATTTTTAACGATTAAACTTTAACTTTTATTGAATATGATTTTCTATATAATAGCATTTAAGATGACTAATCAATATAGATTTATCTTTTCAATATAATTCTTGTTCAACAATATACCGTAGATTTTCTGAAACATTTTCTTTTTTATAATAAAACAAAATCAATAAGTATAAATTTCATTTTTTTCTTTATTTTTGAAAAAAATAATGAAAAATTTTAATCAACTAGATTAACAGAAAATAAATATGAATAGCTCGAATATAGAAACAAAATTCTAGCGTGAATAAAAATAAGAAAAAAAAAATTTTTAATTTTGAAAAGTAACTATTCTTCCAAATGTTTTATTTGTTCCCCAAATACCTTTTCTTAGACAAGCTAATTAAACAATTTGACTGTGATCAACAAACAGATTCGTATGTGTACCTAGATTTTCAATATAATAAGAAAACACTTTTGGATCAGCTGCTTCAAACCTAAATAAATAACACATTTATTTTATTTTATTAATATTTCGAACTTGGTCTAAAAGAAAAAAAACTGAACAAACATTATTTTATCTTGAGGTAAATTTGATGTTATTTGGTAAATAACATCTTTTATCCATGATTTAACATTTCCAGTAATACCTTCAAATTCAATCATAATCATCTAAAGATTTTTAACTTTAATAGAAACCTTTTTTTATTTAATATTAAGAAATAAAACCAAATAAATACATGAGTACCACCAACAAGAAATTTGTTAGCACCTTCAATTAACCATTTTGGATGTCTTCTACCAGCATTTTCAAGTTCTTCAACAGGTGCATCCCCACCTGCACCTCATTGAATACCAACTTCTGCTTTCGCTTTTAAACCATGTGAATTAAGTAACTTAACAAGTTCGGCCCAATCATCACTAGGAAAACTAAGAAAACCTGAACTGATTTCTAATACATCAAAACTAAACAAAAAAAAATAACAACATATTTCAATGTCTTTTTTTTATTAATTAAATTATTTACCCTAAATCTTTACACGTTTTTAGATACTTTTTAATATGGATCCACTGACATATAACATCGTCACCCGAGAGATGAAGACTGCCCTCAAGCAATGGAAAGAATTTTGACATTTTTATGCCTATTCATATCATAAAACTAATACTATTTTATTAACATATTACTCTCTTTTTCTTACAACCATTATTTAACATTTATTCATTTATATAACAAATAATGATAAGTAACGTACGTCATTGAGACTCACGTTAATCCTCGAATGAAAGTTCATTTCTTTCTCTATAATAAACTATTTTACAAATTCTATTGACACTAATATGAGTGTGCATGTGGATATGGATGTGGCTGAAAGTCTTGGTGAGAGTGTCTGCGTGGGTGCGGGTGTGGTTGCACGTCTTCATGTTAGTGACGGTGAGAATGTCTATGAAAATATTGATGTGTGTGCACATCATCCTGCAGTCACCCAAATCTATCAACATTCACATCAACAACAACAACAACAACAACACATCCCCATTCGAAACTTATCTCACCACAACTACGCTATGTGTACACCCAACCCATGCCAGAGTGGCAACTGATAGGATTTTTTCCTATTGGTACGTGTACCGATAAGTAGACCAGTATTAGACATTTTTCATGCTTCTCGTCCTATTAGAGTCCGATCAACCTTTTGATTAATTATGTCTATCACTGAATCATTATGAAAAATATGCAAAGCTTTCGTTTCATTATTATAGTGCTTTTGTAAAACATTATAGTTAATGAATGTTAAACTATATGACGACAAAATTGAACCTATCTCTGCCAGCTTTCCCAAAGACCACTAAAAACATACCTATATTCTTTTAACCTACTGGCAGACCGTGATAGAGATATCTATATGTTTGTCAGGATCTGTGACGTCCTAGTAAGTTTAATGACGTCATGGGTTTTTAGTTCCGTCGTGGTCTATCATATAATGGGTGGCCTGGAAGTTCTGTCTCGATTTGAATAATAAATTTTTCTTTGATAAAACATTTGATTGAAAATTTGTCTTTTTGACGAAAAGATGCAGTAAAACACGCTCTACAAAATGGCTTTCTGATTGATTGCACTAGCTCATATAATAAGAAATTTATAAGCTTAGAAAAATAGTTCACTAAAAATAAAAATTAACCATGAATTTTTCTATGTGTATTCATACTATCGTTTACGGGTCATTGCAAACACTATTCCTTTGTTTCCATGATATCCATCTCTCTTTGTATTCATGTATTCGTTCACTGCTTTGGCCTATAAATAGACCGAACTCAGTCCAACTAGTGTATACAATAATCTATACGATTTCTTATGTGATATAACAAGATGTCCAATGTGTTTACTCTAGAGGAGCAGTTTCGTAGACTCGTTCTCTGCTTGAAGGAAATAAATCCCACATGGATGGCAGTCAACATTAGTGACAAATTACAATCTTATGAAAATCCATCTCCATTATGTCGTAATTCATTAAGGGGACCCCCCCCCCTTTCCGGCGTTTTTAAGAAACGGTCGAACGAAAATTCCTGAAACCTGCAGGGTAGATAGATCTCGAGTAGTAGAGCAAAAGTTGTCATAGACACAAATTTGCCAGATGTCATCTTCATGGACTTCCAGAGACCCCAAGGTCAAAAACTTGCAAAAAGTTTTCCCCCCCGCAAATCCACAAATTTCATCCGTTTGAGCTGAAATTTTTGCTGTGGGTAGACGGACCCAATCGGGGTGGGCGTTTTTTTTTTTTTTCAAAAATTCCAAATACTTCAGGCTGGAGAACCAAAATACTGAGCACCTTGCAAAATCTCTAGGTTTTTTGGATCCTAAAAATTTTGCGAAGCCTGCCAAACTTGATTGGTAGAAGGTATCCAAAAAATAAAAAAAACGCCCAACCCAAATCACTTGAAGTCTCACCAAAACAATTTTCAGCCCGATCGGACTTGAAATGGCGGAGAAAAAGGGGGAAAACTTCATTTTTTTGCTGAAAAAACTGATTTTGAGAAAAACGCAAAGAAATTTGTGTTTTTTTGGTTTTTTCAGCATATTTTGTGATTTTTTTCGAATTTTTTATATATAAGATGTGGTTTTTCGGTTCTCAAATGTACTCAATGGATAGAGGGCATTCAAATCTATATACTAATCACAAAAAATGAAAAATGAAAAATGTGAAAATTTTCAGTCGGGAAAGGGGGGGGGGTCCCCTTAAGAAGAAAAATAAACCGAATATTACAAAGGGGAACAATAAAAGATAGATCAAGATCTAGTGTACCAAGAACTGTGAGAATGAAGGATTTGAAAAAAGCAGTTAAACGATTAATATATTTAAAAAAACAGGATAAAGTCAAAGAAAAGTAGTGTTTGAATCATAACAACGTAACAATATTAAAGGTAAGAGAACATCGGTGCAAAGAACAACTAAAGAATTAAATTTGAAACCGTTTAAACTCAGTAAAAGATCAAAAATTAATAATAGCAAACAAACAACGACGTGTTGCATGTGAGAAAAGATTAATAAGAAAATTTGATGCAAGGAAAACTGATTCAAAATAGGAATGAACTAAAATTGTTTATACTGATTTTTCAAGAACATTAATAATTGAAAGTTTTCAAAAAAATGATAAATATGATGTAGTTTCTGGCTGAAGATTCATCTGAAATTCCTGCTGATTTAAGAGAAACATCAACAGTAAAATATCCAAGTGACGTCTTATTTTGGGGTGCTATTTTCACAAAAGGTTTAATACCTCAAGATGGTCATCTTATTTTTACTAAATGGTTACACAATCAACGTCAAAGAATATGTATGATTGATAAATTGTATGATAGGTTTTTACGTGAAGAAGCCTTTTTTCCAATTAATCAAGTGGTCGAAAATTTGAACGAAGTCATTTTTCAAAATGATCAAGATTAAAAACAAAGAACTCAAACTGCTAAGGATGTTATTGATGATATTTTTGACAAAAGAATTGAACCAAATGACGAAGACACCAAATTTGAAGATGTGTAATCCATTGAAAATATTTAGGGAATTATGAAACAAAAAAAAATAAGATGAAAAATATTTCAAAATCTTGCTTCATTCGCTTGTTTTGTTAATTCTGAATGGAGAAAAATTATACCTGAACAGTATGAACCAATAATAGACAACATACCTAAACGTCTCCCAAAGGTTATACAATTCAACGGAAATCAAGTTTACGAACATTGATTTAAATAGATTTTCGTTATAGTATTCATGATGAAGAGACATTTTTTAAATAAAATAAAGTCTTTATGATTCCTAAAAATTCATGATTAATTTTTATTTTTTGTAAGGTATGGGTGTGGATGTGAGTGTGGCTAGGGTGTGGCTGTGAGGTGTGGGTGTGAGTGTGGGTGGGTGTAGGTGTGTCGGTGTGGATGTAGCTACCTTATCATCATTCACACCCACACCCACCCGCACACCCACACTCACACCAACACCCACACACCCACATCCCACACCCACCCTAGCCACACCCACACCCACACTCCGTGCAGGTCTCTAGCCCGGGCCCCTCGGCTTCCTCCCCCCTTCTGTACGCTACTGCGTAACATTATCAAAAACGGTCCGAGGTAACAATTAAAAGCTTTTTGGACATATAAAGTGTGAAGACTTACATCATTTTTTAGGAACATTCCACATATATAAAGAATATCCCATGATAATTGATGATAAATTTTTAATCATATTTTTCATACTTTTTATTGACATAGAAAGCTGAAATTTTTACTATACATATAATCAAGATTTTTTGTTTCTGAAAGTTTCAGTTCTCTAGGAAAAGCTAGTGATGAAATAGATTAATTTTCTTACTGATTTTTGCAATAGTTTCATAGTAAATATATATAAAAATCGGATACGAAAATTTATGTACTTCAGTCTTGTCGATGTATTTCATCGTTGGTTTTGGCTAGAGAGCTGAAACTTTCAGAAATAAAAGATCTTCATCAGATATAAATGTGGTAAAAATTTTAGTTCTCTATGTCAATAAAAAGTAAGAAAAATATGATTAACAATTTGTTATAGGGTGCTCTTTATATAGAGTGTTTCTAAAAAGCAACTTGGATCTCCATACTTTTCATGAGTAAAAAGATTTTAATTGTTACCTCAGACCATTTTCGACAACGTTGCGTTTAATTAATCTATTAAAATTGAAAAAAAAATTTCCTCTGAAAGTGGTAGAAACCCCACGGATTTACCCGTCTTCTAATTTTCTAGATTTTAAAACTGATTTGATACATGATAAAGTATTGACATCTTTTTAACCACACTTTATTGCTAAATTTTTGGCTTTTTCAGATCGTATCTAGGTTGTATTCAAGAACCTTTTAAAGAATCTTTTTCAAGATATCATAGTGAATCCTAAAGTATTTCGCATACACATGTAAAAAACTTTATATTTTTCGTAGAAAACCTTTTAAAATTTGATAGAAGAGAGAAGGATTGAGCACTTGTAAAGATTCGATTATTTGATATTCTGTATCCGTTTATATTAAATTTTTTTTTACATAATTATCTACAGTTTCGTCTTTTGTTTTAGTCAAGTTCTGAAGAACAACAAGTTATCTTGAGTGAAATAAATAAAATATCAAAGTTTGTTTCTGCTGAACGTGCATTTTTTAATGCTCAACTAAATTCAGTAGAGCAAACATATACATATATTTATGATGATTCAAATTGCAAAATTGATTTACCAAATATTTCATGTGAAGATGTGATGGTATTATCATTGTTATCTATTCGCAAATTAATTCTTCGTATTGAAGTTATATACGAACATAAACGAACTATTGAAATATATTTTGGTAGTGGATTTTTATTAAATGATCGACTTGTTCTCACATGCGCACATAGTTTTGATCCAATTCAATGGGGTAAAGAAAAAGTACCATATAAGAAAATACATGTTTGTTATTCTGATCCAGCTTATGAAACATTTTTTTCGTCGGTGAATCCAAGCAATTTATTAATTGCAGCTACTGTAATTCGTCGTGGACTAGAAAAAGATAATTTATCTAACTATGATGAACTAAAATCCGACTCTACTGATCTTGCTATACTGGCATTAGATAAAGCAGTTACACATTTACAATTTAATGAATATTTCGAGCCCAAATTAAATTGTTCGTCGTCAAAATCAGGTGCCATTACAATTAATTCGAAATTATTTTTGGTATCTTACAATGGGGAATTAACTGATGATGATGCATTAAAACCCTATAGGTATTTAAAAGGTCCTGAAAATTTAACAATTGAGAAATTAAACTATAGTCATCACGTAAATTATAAATCGATTTCCATTGGAAATCTTATACAAGAATCATCTTCAGATAATCAATATGGAATGCATAATTGTACAATCCTGCCTGGATCCAGTGGTGCTTTAATAATTGGTTCAGCAGAACAGTTCGTTGGTATTCATGTGGGAATTGTCAACTCTCATCAAGAAAAAAATCATCCCAGGTCCAATAAAACGGCGTCGTAAACGGCCTGAAACGGCTATAAAACGGCGATTAACGATGTAAAACGTCGATAAACGGCACCGTAATCCGTCATACCAGATTACGGAAGCAAAACCGGAAAAAAATGACCGCCGTTTTCTAGCGATAGACGGTGGTCGTAATACGGTATGACGGATTACGGCGAAATAAGGTCAAAATTACTGCAGTAATTCGCCGTTTTATAGTCGTTTCAGGCCGGATACGACGCCGTTTCCGACGGCCGGAATGATCCACCTGGGATGAAGTCTTTTTTACAAAAGAAACATTCAATAAATTTATTCCTGTTAATTCAAAACTATTTGTTGAATTTATTCGTGAAGCAATTGTACCTAATATTGTTGATGATGAATTAGTACGAAAATGGCAAGCTGTTTTCGAATAAATATTATTGTATTTTTTTTTGTTTGTTCTACTATAAACGTGAAAGTTGATGTTTTTCTTTATATTAACTCTTTGTTTAAATATAAACTTATGTCTTCAGATTTCATACGAACAAAGAAGAAGAAGAAGAAGAATACCCCTGCCTTGCGGCTACCTTCCAGTATGGGGTGCTGTCCAAGGACAGTTTCAGAAGCCCGATGTTTTTCCTGCAACTATTACTAGTTGCAGCTCTGGACAGAAGGCTGGCCTGACTCAGAGTTCTTCTCGCTTAAGCTTCCCATACATACTGACTAACCACATACGAGCCATAAAGGCTTTTTGTGTATGTAGACAACGTAGTCAGCTTGCTATCGGATGGGTGATCCGAGACAACACAGCCGTTAGTGACTTGTCCAAGGTCATTCTATGTATGATGGCGCCGAGGTTCGAACACAATATCTTGTGAATATGAGTCGAATATCTTTACCACTCAGCCATAGCGGCAATTGAATTAGTCAATGGAAAATAATGATATATGGTTATATGATAGATTTCAATATATAGAAGTTCGAAAAGTAAAAACGAATAAAAAAAAAATCGATGAAAAAAAGTAAGGTTATTGTGCCGATATATGCGTCACGGTACGCTGCTTCTCTTCTTTCCTTTCCTTCACTTTCCCGTTGTTCTGCGTGTCATCTCTCTCCCATTGTTCTGGGAGTCATCTCTCTCCTTTGTTTCTGCATCATATATAAGTGTGTGTTGAATGTGCAATAGACACATTCTGGAGATGTAGAGTAGCTAATAAACATCATTACCGAGGGTAGTGGTAAGCTACTCCTCCAGTCTGTCATAACATCTCTCTTCCTCATTTTATCGTTACAGTTATATGTAAACAGTTGTTTATTTGTTTGTCACCAGTTGATGAAGCTAAAACTCTTTGAATAAAAGCAGCTGTACTTACATAAGATTGATATTTATGTGCAACATCAATTATATGACGTAATCCTTTTTCTGACATTAATGAAACCGACCCACCGGCAAATCTATTTTAAATAAATAAATGTTTTTTTTTCAAAATATCATTATAAAATATGTTTATTTTCACTTAAGATAAAATGATTAATTGAATAAAAAAAATTTTTTTTTTTTTTATTCAAAATAATCAATGAAAAGCTAAAAATAAAATATGTATTTTCTTATTTGATTTAAGTGAATATTTCTCAACAGATATTTAACTATTTTTTTCTTTATTTATTTTATAAAATGTCAACATAATAAATAATTAATAAAAAAAAAATGTTATTTTCATTGATCTTTAAAAAATCTTTCTAATATTTGAACTGTTTTATATAATGATTTTTTAATAATAAAAGGAAAATCTCTTGAAATCAATATTTATTTATTCGATAGAATTTTCAATATATTTCATAACTATAAAAAAGAGAATTGAGAAAAGCTAATTTCATTTATGATAAATTCTTTTCTAAGATGAACAATATTTATTTAAGTCAAGATAAATATTCGGACTAATTGAAAATCTCTTTTATGTCAATTTAAACTTAATAGATATATTTATTTAATTAAAACCAAATATAAAACGATATTAATTTTAAATAAAAATCAAACAAAGAGAGTTATTTATTTCAATATTGATAATAAAAATGAATTTTAGTTTATTCCATCAATATATTCTCTCCAATCTTCAAGTAATTCATAAAGATAAGTTTGTGTAACTGGTGTATAATAAGGTCCACCAATTTCAGTTAAACCCTTCTTTCGATTTGGTTTAGATTTTAATTTATTTGTTGGTCAAAAATGAAAAGGACTTGATTGTTGACCAATAGAACTAAATGATCGAATAGATTTAAACAAATCTAAATCACTTTTTTTAATATATCGTCAAATAAACATTTCTATATACTAAAATAAATCAAATTTTTTTTATTATAAATATCGACCCTTTTTTTTATCTCATTTAACTTAATTAATTCATTTTTTTTATAAATAAATTATTTGAAAATATTTTAATAAGATTTCATTGAAACTATTCAAAAGAAAAGAAAAGAAAGAATTTATATTCATTCAATAATTGATCATCGACAAATATAATTATCTATTTGAAAATAAATTTATAGAAGCCGCTTTATATTAGTTATCTTTAACATTTATTTAAGATAAAATAATTATAGGATATACTAGTTTTTATAAACTATCTTATTATTTATAGTAAATCAATTATTATTTTTCTATATAGTTAAAGATAATATTATTCTCTGGGTAAGTCAAAAGGATATATTAACTAAATAAGAACATATCTCGATATTCAATTTGAACTGATTAGATTAAATAAAACTCTTATCAATAAACCATTATTCGATTGTTTTAAATATTTATCATTTATGTTTACCCATTATTATATATAAAGAAAAAGATTTTCTATCCCTCGTTTTCGCTTTTTTTTCGTTTAAACTTTTAAGAAAATAAGATAAAAATAAAAAAACAAATATGAACTAACTATTTAAAAAGTCGATTGTTTAATATAAATGTTTATCAAACCGAAACAAACGAAAACAATCGATATATTATTTTAAAATAAAATTCTCATTTTGTCAATATGTTATTTTTATTAAATAGATAAATAGAATAAATAAAATAATAATTAACATTTATTTATATTAATTAAATCTATCGGTTTTTAAATTCTTATTTATCTATTATTTAACTTTTTTATATTTATAATAATAATATTAGAAAGAAAATAAGAAGATTTTATTTTATCGAATCATATATCAGATGTTAAGAAATAGGAAAGAATGAATTTTTTGTTTTTTTAAATTTCGAATTATTTGTTTTATTGATATTAATTTAAATCTATTTTATATAATTAATCAATAAACAATCTGATTTATTGATTTGAATTGTATATATATTTATAAAAATATTTCTATATTAGCTAATAGAACTATTCTTCTTTATAAAATATTATTTTCATAGAATTTTCACTAATTGATCAATTAAAATAATAATCAGAAGAAAAAAATCTTTGAACAATTCGAATTAATCTATTATTAGAGTTTTATTTATTTCAAATCGTTTTACTCTTTAGAAATAGAAAATAAATAATTTAATTTTATCAATATTTCTAAACAATTTCATCCAATTATTATTTATCATTTTATTTTCAAATATTTCCTATTAAAAAATATTCATTATTTCAATATTTATTTTAAATATCAACATATCTATTTTACAAAATTCAATCAACAAATAAATATAATAAATCTTTATCATAGTTACACGAGAAATTTCCCATTTTATAAACAACTATCAGGATAGAACCTAAAACTTTCACCGATTGAAGATCTCAACACTCTAAGACCCATCATCAAAAACTGGAAACAACTTTCATTTATCATCTATTCTTTTATTCCAAGTATAAACTAGCATCATTTCACCTATAACAAGTATATTTTTTTAAATTTTTCATCATTTTATGCTTTTTCACTTTTATTTATTATTCTAAACGATAATTAGAAATAAATATATTGATATATACTACTAAATTAGGAGAATTCTATAAAGGGATTCATCGAATAGAACGTTATCGAAAAAAATCCATAGAATAACTGTTAAAAGAATCAATTGTTGGTGTAATAAAATGATAATTATCGATAAATTCTAGTGTTGTTAAATAGATATATCTACTCTCTATTTAAGAATATAATTATTCTAGATTGAATCAGTTTCTATTGATGAGTATATTATATAGACTATAACCCAAGATTTTCGCATAGTCAAAAAGTGAGAGATATCTCATCAATATTTTTGACGCATAGGGGAAATTGTGAGGGTATTCGATAATAGTGCATTGAAGTATTATCCCTAATCTATTAGAGAATATATTTTATTTGTCTTCCTACTGTTAGCTTTTTTCAAATAGAGTAGGATAAAAAAAAAGATCGATTGTTTGGCATTAATCATCTAATAGGATCCGAGGCAAACAATAAAAAAAACGAATCATCGAATTCGATGAAACTTTCAGCGTTTGTAAACCTTTCAATTATAAGGACTTTCATAAAAACAAAAAAAATGTTTTTTTAAAGATTTTATTTTGAAGAAGATAGACTGAAAATATTTTAACGAAAAAATATCGAAAAAGACTCTTTTTAGCATGATTTTTATAGACAGTTTTTGATAGTTTACTCAATTGAAATAAGATAAAAAATAATATCTAAGATTATATTTTGATTCATCGTCAAAAGGCGGATCGAATTAAACCAATATTGACTTTTATTTTAAAACTAATCAGATATAATATATCATCTGATTACTTAACGATCATATTATATTCGGCAATTTTATTTATTCTCGAACACAGAATTCCGTAATATGATGCCATTCGATATTTTATAGACCGTTTTTTTCCTATAGAATTCTGATATTCTAGAGTTGTTACCATTTTTTATCCATCTAAAATCTGGATAAGACTGTCCGAGTCGGAGAAACCTGTAAGATAGAGAAAAGAGTTATATCCAATTGTCGATGAAACTGAGCAAATTTGTAGAGGAAC